ATGAATATTTTAAAAAATTGTCCCATGTATAGAATCTATTGGAGGACCATCTTAAATTCATCCCCCACCCCCACTCCTAAAGCAAGAAAGCAACAGCAGGAGGGCAGGTGGTAGAGAGAAAGCAAAAGCTGACCCCTGCCCCTTGCCATCTACCACTTGTCCTCCCTGCTGCCTGTGCCCCACAAGGCCTCCCCGTAACATCAAACCCAGTGGTCTCCAACCTTTTATGGTGAAGATGTGAAGATCACTTTTAGGCACTCCAGGATTTACCATGCCTCCCCCCAGCCCCCTGCCCCGCTCCCCGAACAAGCCGCCCGGGCTCTGACCCCACTCACCCAGCCCAGCCCAGCCACACGCATCCTGCTGCTCCCGATCGTGGAGGCTCTGACAGACTGAGATCGACTGTTAGAGGCTCCACGATAGACCAATTGATCGAGACAGACTGGTTGGTGACCACTGATGTAACCCCTGATGCCTAGGTTCCTTGCTGTCTGACTTCCTCTCCAGTGCTGGCACTACCTACCACCTTGACCACTGTGCTTGCCTCTCCATGCCTGTACCCTTGCACTGCCCCCAGTGCCTGACAACCTGTGCCTGCGCCCCCTTGACCCCCTACTATCTGCCTTCCTACAGTGCCTGTAGTCCCCCCAACACCCCCCCCACCCTGCCCAAAATCTGCTCGTTGTGCCTGGGGCCCCTGCTGCCTGCTTTCCTCTGCAGTGCTGGCACCCCCTACAGCCACACCCCTTGTGTCTGTGCCCCTGGCACCTGCTCCCCTCCCCGTGGTGCTCTGGCCCCATTCCTGACCAAGGCATGGGCTACATGGCAGCTCTGGCTCTTGCCCAGCCATGCAACAGCATTGGCTGTATCAGCAGCTCTGGCATCCATATTATATTACTTCCTTAAGTAATATCACTGTATAATTGCTGTAGTTGCCACAGAGAACCCATGCGATTGTTGAAGAGAGGCAGTACCTCTTGAGAATCTCAAGAAGATGTGGCTCATAATACGAGGGTTTAAAATCCCCTATGCCACACTATTATCGATGAACAAAAGCTGCAAAGTCCTCAGCAACAGTCCAGGTTCTAAGTATGCCACGAACAAAATGTTTTCCCCTAAAGCTCTAAGAATTAGGTGGTCCCAACTAACTGCATCCTTATGGATTATCCAATTGCTCAGAGAGCAGACTAACAGCCTGATTTTTCCTCAGTCCAGTTCCACAAGTGAACGCTGACACCAACACGTACTGGCAGTGGGAGAGAAGCAGCTCATTAATGAAAGGGAATGTTTGAGCTATTTTTTCAAGTAAGTGTGTGGAAACACTTATGTCAGTCTCACTCTCCCTTGACTCCCTACAACTGTGCTTCTGTGCCACTATAAAATAAGGAACTGACATGACTAAGCCTCACAGACAAAGCATGCCTCACTGAAGACTACAACGGACTTATTCAGCTCCTCTGCACCTAAAATAGCTAGTGACTGCAACAGTGAACTACTACATGGCTACATATACATTTTAGTTAATGCCTTCACACTTTTGCAAGAAAGGTCAGTGGTTTACAAAGATTCTCCCTCACCCTTTTTAGTTTCATTTTCAGTGTCACTGCAGCAACCTGCACTTCACAGCAAGCAAAGTTCATGCCTGTTGATACCTCTTCAGATTCCAGGTCCTCAGTTTTGGAACACAGCAGAATTCTCCACAAACTGGTCCTCAGAAAACCTGGTGACCCAGCTAACAGACTGCGCCTCTGCACAGAGAGAGATCTGAGGCTTCCATACACAGTGGTACAACTAAGTGATGCCAGCCACATATGCAACCCCTCCCCCCCCACAAAAAAAAACAAAAACAAAAACAAAAAACCAAAGCCAACAACCCACCAAACAAATATTGAACACATCAGGGATTTAGAATTACTACATACCAGTTCAGTTAGTTCCCACACCTGCAGGATTTCTCATCCTCAGGGTGCAATTCCATCAAAACTACAACTTTTTCTTATGCTATCAAAATCAAGAGCACTCCATTTCCATTTAACCCAAGTACCACAGTTTTTAAGAGTTGCACCATAAAGTAAAGGCCTTTACAAAGTTAAACAAACTTCAGCAGTCACCCAGAGTAACTTCATGGCCTGATGACTTCACCAAGACATCCACCTGTAGCTACAAGCTAGTATAGGTTGGCAGGAGTAGGCCCATTAAAGAGCAATATTTTGATAGAGATGACAACGTTTAGAAAAAAAAAGATCATGATAAAAGCACTGTAGTGGAATGGGTTCCTGGACAGTTCCATGCATTCACAGGGAATCTTTCTAGACAGGGAGCACTTTGAAGAGAGCCAGGGTCATGACCACACTGCTGACATTGATTCAGATAAGGTATTTTGAGCACTGGCACCTTCAGAGATGGCTCCTTTACCTGATCCCTTAGTCTTAATACATGCAGTTGCTTTAAAATTAACCTGAATAGGAAACAACACCACTACCACCACCACAAAAAAAAAATAAAAACCCCAACAAACCAAACCATGGACTAAATAAAGATCCAAGATAGTAAGGTGAACACAGTATTAAGAAACCGGACATATTGATGAGGTTAAAAGCTGAAAGACGGAATATACTCATTTCTGACTTCCCTTCAAAGTCAAGATAACTTCTTAAATAGTAGAGATCTAATCATTTTTAAAAGGCAAAATTCTGTCAGTGGAAAGTGTTCACTGAAAAAGGTCAGAAGCATTTAAGCCCTTCAGATCTGCCTGAAGTTTCAGACCAGCCACATTCAGGCTCCAAAGAGGAAAAAAAAAAATTCCTGGGAATGAACCCTAAAGTGTCCAAGCAACATAATTTGATAAGGAAGCCAATACTACTAGGCATGTTCATTTTTCCAGTGGAAGACTCTATTAAAAATGTATACTGACAAGTATTTATATTGTGCACAATGTTAACTGGATTGGACAGACAGTGCAATGTGGATACAGGGCAAAATGGGTTTGATTTTAAACTGTTTGATTTTAAACTGTACTTCAACAATGTAAATGCTGGTGTTACAGAATCAAGAGAAGAATTCCAAGTCAAACAACTAAATTTCTTTGAGCTTACCCTGTGTCATGACAGCTAGCACGTTTCACCCCAGACATGGCTCCATCTGTGATGGGTGCCCCAGGGCAGTGTTTCTCAATCCGTGGTATGCGTACCCCTGGGGGTACGCGAGACACAGGCAGGGGATATGTGGGTGCTGCGTTCTGGTCTTTGCCTGCTTGGGCCAGAAGTTCCAGCTGCTGCCCCTCCTCCATGTCTGGTTTCGCCGGGGCTTTCACTCCCCAGGGTCAGTGTGCCAGGGGATAGGGAGGGAGGCCCTGTGCAGGCTGCTTTGGCCCAGGCTGCGGTGGAAAAAGTGGGACTCAGCTCATGGCAGCCAAATCGGAAGTGCCACTTTTGCCACATCGATCGGCTGGGGGTAGGTACACAAGATACCAAAGGTTGAGAACCACTACCCCAGGGTACAGCTTGTATAGCACTATTAAATTAGTACAGTATTTTAGGATGAAGAAGGTTCAAACCACTTAGCTTCTCCTGCTACTGAAAAGTGACCAGAAATCATGCAGAAAAATTTTCTCCACCCATCAGGGTTAGTCAGCATCAGCGCTGACAGATGTGGAGAAACAAACAAACAACCCCTCCAAAAAAGAGCACTTTACCAAAAGAGGAAATGCATTAGTTTGACCCAGCTCCCCAGCACCTATAGATCGAGCGCTTCAGTGGGGCCTTTTGGCACTTTTATCTAAAGCTGATTCAATCAGTTATTAGATAAAGGCACTAAAAAGTCCTGCTGAAATACACGATTTAAACAGATGCTGGGCAAGCCAGGTCAAACTAATACGTTTCCTCTTCTGGGCATGCACTGTGCTCAGCACAGGGGTGCACCACGCTGGAAGTAAAGCACTGTTTTTGTTTGTGGTGGGGGTCTTTTTCACATCTAAGCAGTCTAACTGGACCTTTACGGAAAGCTTAAAATCACATTTCTGCTTTAGGAGGTGGCATTCTTCTCTTTGTATCATAACTGAACCAGTGCCCAGAATGGTACTAGGGCATTAGTTCTCAACCAGGGTGCTGTGGCACCCCAGGATGCTTTGAAATCCTTTCAAAAGGTGCCACACAATGTTAGGACTGTTAGGTGTGCAAATATGATTTACAAGATCATCCCAGAGATTTCAAATAGGAATCCAGAGTGTTAAAAATATTTGACTTGTGATCATTTTTCTGAGTCCCTGGCAACAAAAGAATTCCTCTATTTTTTTTTTCCTATAGTCAAAAAACAAGTGAAAACTAAGAGTTAGCATCTTCCCAGAGGTGCCTTAAGTCTAAAAAGGTTGAGAACCACTGCACTAGGGAATCCTGTACTGCCAAATGTACTGTATTTTTAACTATACCTAAAAACTACTGTCCTGGAAGAAGTCAGCAATATCCTGTTTTAAAGGAACCTGTGCTGTTCTGCCATTGGCACCACATGCTTCTAGATGTGGTATGGTAGTGGGGGAGGAAAAAGATTTTAGCTGAGAATTGTTGGTTTCCTGTGAGATCTTGTTAGATAGTGGTAAGTAAACAAATCTCTGCAATGCATATTCCCCTAAATTTCCTATGAGATCTTGCTGAATCTTCACAATGCAACAATTTCAACAGTTTCCTATACATACCACTACAGGTGGTGATAACAGGAAAAAGCACTTCATGAAATATTGGGCCCAATTCTACAAAGTGCTAAACATTTCCAATAAAAAAGATGACTTGCATCTGTTCTTACAGTACCAATTTTCTGTCTGGAGGTTCCAGAGACATCCAGTTCTGCTGAGCTTATGACAAGATCAGAGCTTGATGTGGTACATCTGTCCACATGCTTTAAATTAATACGTTTATAATTAGAGATCAGAGGTAGAAATAGAAGGCAGGTTAACATTAGTATTCTGCTGGTTGAGCACTAGCAGCAGACAGTTATAAGTTACCCACTGGTCTTCCGTATTCCATGCTGTAGACACTCAGGTTCAAAGATGACCTCCAGAATCTGTGCTTCAAAGTACAAGCCAACATCACACACATCTATCATCTTCCTTGTGGGGAGTGCAGAAGAGGAAAGTGCAAGCAGTTACCATTCAGATAAGGGAAGAACTCACAAGATCCCCGAGTTCATCTCCATCAAAGCTTAGAAAGAGTAGAGAGAAAAAGATATTTTTTAAGTCTGCTTGGACAAAGAAAACATTAAGTACAGAGCAGCAGGGACATCCTGACTGCACATACTGGTGATGAAGATGGTCACAAGCCTTGAAAGTGAATCAGCATCCCTTACATCTGTCAGACTGAAACGGTACCTCTTATAGGAGGCGATTTGGAAAGCTTGGTGAGAAAACATTGCTCCACCTTATTGCCCTTCGACAGGTAGAATGACAAGCAATAGTACACAGGTGTGATTTCATTTGCCAACTAGTTTTTGACATGCTCTGGTCTAGTGAGTAAAAACAAAAGGAACACAAACCTAGTTACCTGCTTGATCACAAAGGATGCCAGGGACCTTCAACTAGCAGTGATTGAGAGTGTTCAGCACTTTGTAAGATCTGGCTTTTGTTCCTCCGCTTTCAAGTGGCAGACAAGGTTCTTTGGGTGAATCTGATATCTTTTATTAGACCAACTCAAATAGTTGGTAACATTCGTCTTTCCACTTTCAAGTGACCTTTTCTAATGATTATGCAAGAGGTTTCATACAACTGCAGTCTGTTTCTATTCATCCCCTCCCCAACTGTTAGAAGAAATACTTTCAGGCCTTCCAAACCAATGACTCATTCATTTTATTAATTATTAATCCAATCCTTTTTGCGTCACTTATACTTTAGTATGATTACAGTGAACATACAGTCAAACATAGTGAACAGCATGGGAAATGGATAGGAAAACGTGGACAGAGGATCTCGTGTTATCATTTCCTTACCATGCTTAACTGCACCACCTTCATCTTAATTCTCTTTTTTGTGAGGACTTTCCTATGTTTTTAGAAAGAAAGTAAGATGGGATAAATGATAAAAAGGCATTTCCCCATTCTGTGACTTATAACCTCTTGTAATCTGCAAAAAAGCCCAGCCATACAGAATTCCGTTCTTGAAAGATTTGGGTCAACAATATTAAAATATGGTTTCTCTCATACCTCTAAGCATACAGAAGGGAGAATCTCTCCTCTAAAAGCCTGTGAGCTGCAGAGGTCAGGGC